GTTTACTCTTGTTTTCTTTTTTGTTGTAGATGGATCTGAAATGTGGCATTTGTGTTTCCAATTTTAACCTGGACTCCCACCGCCCCAAAAACTTGCCATGTGGGCACTCAATCTGCCAGGAATGTGTGCAGAATCCTGCCACGGCTAGGAAGTGCCCAACTTGCAAAAAGGTCAGTTTGTTAAAAAAATATATCATTCTTGTTATTAAACCTTACGTTTTGGTGCCAAATTTGAAGAATTTTATGAGGTGAAGAGAATTTAACTGGTTGAGCACAGGTTTGGTTGGACGTCTTTCCTTTGCATGTGTTCTCCTTGGTCTTCTAGAGCAAATGGTTATACAAACAAGACCAATCGTACAAACAATCAGTTAAAATTTAGTAAAAGCCATTCAACAAGTCAAATAAATATGTTTGCAATGCACAGACACCAAAATGATTCACATTATTTGCTGCACCCTCAGATACTCAATGGAGGTTTCCATGTTAAACTATAAAGAAATCTATGCAATGGTAAGGTGAAATGAATATTGTTACTTGGTTGTTTGGCTGTTATCAACAAAGAAGAAATGTTGATGAGAAAAGTAATAAGCTCTCAAAAATACAGTGCAAGTTGTTAGAAAAATAGTTCAGGCTTATCATTGCATAAGTACATTGATAGTTTAACAATTCAAAAGTCACTAAGGATTGATCAATCCTCACACTGTGATAGGAAAAGGCCTTTTGTGTTCCTACGAAAATATTATATTTAAATGTGAGGTCCTTATCAGTTATGTATTTCATTATTATGTGTAGGCATTTAAGCAACGGCGACTGGAGGACCTCCCCGATAGCTTCCTAGCGATCCAGCTCCTGGAGGACAAGGACGCCCCACCCTGCAAGAAGCCTAAGATTGAGGACCCAGCGCTGCAGCAACTACAGCGGGGCGCGGACGCGGGGCGGAAGGTGGTGGAGATGCTGCGGCTGGCAGTGCCTCTAGCGGTCGAGGTGCTGAACCGCCAGCTGGAGTCGTCGGTCGCCCAGCTCGGCCAGGTGGAGCAGGCCCTGGAGAGGCGGGTGCAGCGGGAGGCGGCCGGCGATGTGGGCACCACGTCGGACGCCGTGGAGGAGCCGCTGCAGCTGGCCGAGCAGCTGGAGGCCAGCCACCGCCTGCTCACCTCCACCAAGTGCACCGTCGCTGCCGAAGAGGAGGGTGGCTCCGCCTGGACGGCCTCTGTGCAGCCCGGCGGGTGCGGCGACATCCTGCGCCTCCTGCTGCTGCAGCTGCGGGCGGACGGCCAGCTGGGAAAGGTGAGTCACCAAGCAGGTGGGCGGTGCTCACGTTGGTGTTGACGAGGTGCTCATCCGCTCTGTTCCCCTCCAGGTTGACGTCGGCGACATCGCCGTTCCTACCATCTGTGCTCCGATTCACGTGGGCCCGCCTCTGATCTCCGTCCTCTCGATAACTGATAAACACCTCGACAATGGTCGTCTAAAAGTGAATGACATTCTTCTGGGAGTCCAGAAGAAATGGGCCGTTCCTCGCAGCCTGAAGAACCTAAAGGGCGCCGGCTCTGAGGACCTGCTGCGGGTCATGGGGCCACACCTCGAGGAGCTGCAGACCTCGGGTGAGGTTCAGCCCAGCGTTATGGAGGAAGTGCAGAAGATGTCGGGACTCAGAAGACTGCAAGTTAAACGCGCTGAGGATGAGGGCTACCCAGACCTGCCGTTACAGCTGGAGGAGCTCTACATTAACGGAATAACTGAGAACCAGCTGCGTTGTGTGGAGCACATGCCCAGACTGCGCAGCTTGGCGGTAAAAAATTATTTTGGTCCAAATCTGTCCTTCCCTCCCTCGCAGCATAACAGGCTGGTGTGGCTCTCCGTGGGCTTCGATACTGCCCACAAACCCACCATGCTTTCTCTTATTCGCGCCCACGCCTCTTCAGTGCAGGAGCTCCGTGTGTACTGCACCTTACCTACTGAAGACAAGGACCATTTCTTCCCTGACCTGGGCCAGGAGCTGGCGGCCTGCGGCTTGGTCGTCTTGCGGCGGCTCGTCCTTGTACGTCCTACGAAACACACTGCATGTCAGGCGGCGGCCTGCGTGGTGCAGCGACGGGACATTCGAAGCTGCTTGCCCCCTTCTGTTGACGTGTTCTGCTTCAAGTGTCATTTACTGCAATTCTAGGAAAATGGACTCAACTTGCTTTTCCAGCAGTAGTTATGCTGCTTAACGAAAACTGTCAATTTTTATAAGGATCTGGACATAAGCGACTCTGAAGTTAATGTTGTTGTGTTGAGCCGTTTGAACTGTCAAACTTCTTTTAAATAAATCAAATTCATTCAGCTGCATTTTAAGGCGTTGTTTGTTTATTTTCTGTCTGTTATTTACCTATCAGCAACCAAGCAGGTAACGTAATCAGCAATCACAATCCAATCAGAAGGAGGGAAAGCCGCGCTCGCTCTCCGTTTATGTCGTCTCGGCATTGGCACCGTGCGGCGGAGGCAGACGTTGACGGCAAAGCTGAGGCTGAGCGGAGATTCGCGGCCGCCGCCGCCGCACCCCACCATCGCGGGTGGCCTAAACAACGCCGCCAGGCGCTCGATCTAGCCTCCAGCACCGGTTGTATGTCGTTTGAGGCACTAATCCCCCAGGTCAGAAGGGTCGAGTGTCGATTGCGGCGGGGCCGAGGCGCGGATTGTCGATTGAGGCGCGCGCGGGGAAAGCCGAGGGAAGAAAGAGATATTTCCCCCTTCACGCCGCATGGCGATCAGCCGACGGCCGACGGACCCACCGGCAGGTGCGGGAGAACTGGCACCGGCTAAGACCAAGCAAACCTTAACTAACATACCTAATTTAATAAAGAAATTCAGTAACGATACTGCCAATACAGAGTTGTACTCCGATTTGCTTTTAAATAAAAGGAAGCAAACCTAAACTAACAAACCTAATTTAATACAGAAAATCAGTAATGGTACTGTCAGTGAAGTGTTGCACTCCGCTATCGCTCCGCGCAACGCTTTGGCATGGGTCCTAGGCTTTCTGAGTAAGACAGATGTTCTATAGATGTTTTCTAAAGAAACGTGTCATACATTACCTTCGCGGTATCAAAATGTAAAACGAAGCAAACCTTTACTAACAAACCTAATAATAATGCAGGGAATAAGCTCTATTCTTTCAGTGAAGCGATGCACTCCGCTGTCGCTCCGCAAACGACCATCCACCGGCGCCGCGCCGCTGCCGCACGGAGTGCGGAGGGAAATGTCTCTTTTCTCCCTCGGATTCCCCCGCGCGCGCCTCAATCGACAATCCGCGCCTCGGCCCCGCCGCAATCGACACTCGACCCTTCTGACCTGGGGGATTAGTGCCTCAAACGACCATACGCCGGCGGCCGGCAGGACTTCCTGGCAGGCGTTCTGACAGGCACTTCGGGCTTATTATTGTACTACTTATCCCACCATTTAGCAGAGGTGCAGCACCTCACCCACCTTACCCCAGTGGAACGCCAGCGCCTACAGAGCGCCTATTAGGTGTCCGCCTCAACACTACCACCCTAAACTTCGCGAGAAAAGCGCATTTTCGGGTGGTTTGCGAAGTTTGGGGGCGGTGTGGAGGCGCTTTTTAAAAGCACCTATTATTAGGCACTCTCTCGGTGCTGACGTTCCACTAGGGGAGTTCGACGCGAGTTCGACGCGAGTTGGGGGCGGGCAAGTGTACAACGAGTTGGCTAGTGGTGGACCCCTCGCCTGAAATCGAATGACGATCAAGAAGGAGTGTGACGTCGTATCCGTGCGACACATTTTGTGATGACAAATTACAAAACATATCGTACATGTACAAACATATTTTTCACAGTGGAACGTCTTGTGGCGCTGGCGCACGTACAGTGATACACCGTACACTCACGTACGTTTCCACCACCACCACCACCACCCTATTTTATATTTTAAGTCAAAAGTTTTAACCCGGTTCAGGAGGCCCCAACTGTCTACCGGTGAGGCGTTCATGCCTTTCGCGCCCGCGCCCGCTCTACCCTCCGCCTTGCGCTTGCGCCAGGGCCAGACAGCCAATCACGAACAGATAGAGAAGAAAGAAAGCAGCGCGGAGATATTTACTGCAGCCAAATATAACCTTATTTCCGAGTCTGACAACTTATTGCTTTGTGCAACTTTATAGTGTGTTGCTGACGTATTAAAAGCTGTTGAATAGTAAGTCAAAGTGATAATGCCCGTATATATCCTCTTATGGTGTTGGTGCTGTATTTTAAGTAGTTTTACCATAGTTTCGAGAACTTTAACCTTTCCAATTTGCATTGTAAACTGCAACCATTAAGTGTGACACAACTTGCTGTTTTGATGTGATGCAGATGGATCTGAAGTGTGACATTTGCTTCCTCAATTTTGACCTGGACGCCCACCGTCCCAAAAACTTGCCCTGTGGACACACAATTTGCAAGGAATGTGTTGAGAATCCTTCCTTGGGGAGGAAGTGCCCAACTTGCAGGAAGGTCAGTATGTTAATAAGGTTCTGATTGTGGTCTTATTAACCATTTTCATTTCTTTGGTTAAAATATCTTGGGAGTATTTTTGTGAGCTGGTAAAATTAAGTTAGTGTCCACTGTCATAGCAGTGCTTGCTCCATCGCCAAGCATGGATTCACTGTGTAAAAAAAGTACAGGAAGTTGACCAGTACTTTATTGGTCAACATTGTTCAGTGTCTTCCTGTACTTGCGAAGTTCAGTGTTTTAAGTACGGAGTACAGGAATTTATAACATAGAGCCTTTACAGTATGTTTGAATGTGAACCTTTCCAGTGTGTAGTACGTATGTGTATTCTGTACCACAACATGTATGGGAGTGCTTGGAGTGGGATTTTACATGGTGTACAACTTCTGTGTCTTTTCTTACATGTGTAAATACTGATCCACATGTACGAGTACTGTCCAAAGCAAATGGTTGTGCAGTGGGAGAAGTTTAAATTCGGTCAAAAGCTGATATGAACAGAGAGTACTATGTTTTAATCAAAAGTCATCATGATATAAAAAGCTTTTAACATTGTTGAACCCGTACTATATTAGATTCAGTTGGGAACCTATTAAACATGTTGCAACAAATTATATGTACAAGTTTTGCTTTGCTGTTACCACCAGTTTATTGAATTATTTTTTTAATTACCATGTTTAGGCATTTAAGATACGACGACTTGAGGACCTCCCCGACAGCTTCCTAACGATCCGGCTGTTGGAAGACGAGGACGCCCCACCGTGCAAGAAGCTTAAGATCGAGGACCCAGAGCTGCAGCAGCTGCAGCGGGGCGCGGTCGCGGGGCGGAAGGTGGTGGAGATGCTGCGGCTGGTGGTGCCTCTAGCGGTCGAGGCGCTGAACCGCCAGCTGGAGTCGTCGGTCGCCCAGCTCGGCCAGGTGGAGCAGGCCCTGGAGAGGCGGGTGCAGCGGGAGGCGGCCGGCGATGTGGGCACCACGTCGGACGCCGTGGAGGAGCCGCTGCAGCTGGCCGAGCAGCTGGAGGCCAGCCACCGCCTGCTCACCTCCACCAAGTGCACCGTCACCGCCGAAGAGGAGGGTGGCTCGTCCTGGACGGCCTCTGTGCAGCCCGGCGGGTGCGGCGACATCCTGCGCGTCCTGCTGCTGCAGCTGCGGGCGGACGGCCAGCTGGGAAAGGTGAGTTACTAGTCAGCTGGGCAGCAGTCCTGTTGGCGTTGGTGAGGTGATTATCCTGTCTCTTTCTCCAGGTCGACGACGCCATCGCCGTTTCTGACGGCCCTGCTGTGGCTTACGTGGGCTCGCCTCTGATCTCCGTCCTCACGATAAGTGATAAACAACTCGTCAATGGTCGTTTGAAGGTGGAGGATATTCTTCGTGACGCCCAGAAGCAATGGACCATTCCTCGTAGCTTGAAGAACTTAAAGGGTGACGGCTCTGAGGACCTGCTGCGCGTCATAGGTGCGCACCTCGTGGAGCTGGAGACCTCGGGTGAGGTTCAGCCCAGCGTCATGGAGGAGGTGCAGAAGATGTCGGGACTCAGAAGGCTGCAAGTTAAATGCGCTATGGACACAGCCTACCCGGACCTGCCTTTACAGCTGGAAGAGCTCAGCGTAACGGTTATGACTGAGAATCAGTTGCGTTGCGTGGAACGGATGCCCAGGCTTCGTAGCTTGAAGGCATATGATTACTTCGGTCCAAATCTGACTTTCCCTCCCTCGCAGCATGGCCGGCTGTTGTGGCTCAGCGTTGGCTTCCATACAGAAAAGAAGCCTACGATGCTGTCTCTGATTCGCGCCCATGCCTCATCATTGCAGGAGCTACATGTTTACTGCACCTTCTCTGCCAGTCGCCGTCAGTTTTACTTCCCCGACCTGGGCCAAGAGCTGGCGGCCTGCGGCTTGCAGTCACTGCGGCGGCTCGTACTATGTTTCACAGGGCTCGCTAGACCGTGCATAGAACATGGTCAGGTAGCTGGATGCTTGCTGCAGCGACGGTCCATTCGAGGCTTTTTTCCTCAACACGTTGACGTAATGTGCGGGTCGTGTCACATGTCTTCCACAGCAATTCTAGATTAACGGCTGCAATTTGTTCGCAATCCTGCCATCCTTTTCCTATCGCTATGACCTATGCTAACGAGGCAGGACCAAGAGCGAAACTGTTATGCACCCGAACCTGTCCAGATTTTGGTTTGGTGCATCAGTTTTTTACCTAAACTTTTGATAAAAATAAATAAAAACATTTATTTGCACTTAAAAGAGTTTTTGATTTACTATGATTTATGATATAGAGTGGATAAACAGCGCCTGCATTTTTAAAATTATTTTTTTTCTGTTCCTGTACTGTGTTTCGCTGGATTCATGCGTGCTGGTGGGCTCTGCCTATCGCCGTTTGTGTGTGGTAGACACGAGCTTCACGGATTCGTTAAAAACACGGGGGTGAGCTAAGTCGATCAACTAACGCGCAGCTGCGGGCGCTGGTATTGCAGAATTCGCGTGGTATGTTATGGCCTACCCTAACGGGTCGTCTAAAAATGTGGAAAACAAAAGGGGCGTGGAACACTCACCCTACCAGTACTTACACACCGTCTGTTAAAAGTGCGGCAAGACCACTATGGGGTCTCGGCCCCATGTTTTAAATCGTATAGGCTCTAAAATTGAGCCCGACTGCTGAACGTGTTAAACTACGAGAAATAATGCCGGATGAAAAGACGCTTGTACTCTCGGTACCAGTAGAAGCATTGAGTCTTAGGAACCTGCGATACCTGCGCGCCGGTGGTGCTGGGGTGAGGCTGGCGTGGTTGCGTGGTGGCTGGTCCTCACGTGGCAGGGGGCGAGTGGCTCTGGCAGGACGTACACCCGTTTCTCGGATACATTTGATCATCTGTCAAATTACGCGAGCTCGGCGCCTGCGAGACTTAGGGTCGGCCACCCCGCAGTACACGCATGCCGTGCAGGCAAGACGTTGCCTACCTACCAGGCGCTATGCGACCTTGCATTTGGCCAGCTTCACGGAGCTGCATTTTCTCTGGCATTCTCTCAATGGCAAATGACAGACCAGTGACGGACGCACTTTCTGGCTAGCCACGCACCAAAAAGGCGATAATACAAGGTAGACGCACGTTAAAACCGTGTGAAGCTGAGCTAAATGTGCGTCTACCTTGGCCTGCGGCGCGCTAAAATTAAAATTTTTTCGCGATTTTGGTTGGCATGCCTGTCCAGCTCACATCCCACGTCTCACGCCAGGCGCCTCACTTCACGCCGTCTTCCGGGCGGTCTCCCCTTGCGCTTTCTGACAGAGCTGAGCATTTAAAGTTAAAGTTTAATTTCAAGTTCAAGTTAAGCTCAGCAATAAGTTAAAGGACGAGTTTATTCCTCGGCACTAAACTAATGTTGTTGTATCACGTCTCCCTTGTTCTCACATATGGCACCCGCCCGCCCGGACTTAGACATACACCACGGCTGACATGCTGCGGACAAGGGCGTAAAAAAAATAAAAAATGGTGTCCTCACTGGAGTGTCCGTTTGAGGTGGCGCTTCTCACGGTCCTGCAGAGGGTCGCCTTAGGAGAGGATTTGGGGATGACGGAGCAAGGGTAAGGTGTGTGCCAGGCCCGAGGGGCTTTCAGCTTTCAGCCAGCCCTAATGGGCGTCCTGTCAAGCTGCAGCGCACTCGCTGGGAAAACTAACAGTTCTCTTGCGCCCACGCGTCGACTTTTTAGGGTTAAGAATTACCTTGGAATGTTTATTTCAACCTACTTTCAGCCAGGTGGGTAAAAGACTGAAATTGCAACAAGCTTATAAAATGCGTTCGTTTTGACGCTCAGTTTGTGTCCGCGCAGTCCAGCATTTGTTTAACTGGCCGCGGCGAGATACTCTCTCTCTCTCTCTCTTTACCCCGCGGTTACCACCCACTCCTTACCATAAGGGCAAGAGGTTTTTGCCCCCCCCCCTTTCTTCCTCTCTGCTCGAACGCACCCGCGTTGCCCCTTTCCCTCTCTCTCGCACACACACTCGCTGTATCCTACCCCTCTGTTCCTCCCTCTCTCTCGCACACACTCGCGGCGTCTCCCCCCCCCCCTCTTTTCTCCTTCCAGTTTCCTCCTTTCCAGGCGCCGCAAATCGTTTTGGACACCCTCCAAGACTGTGGAACGAAAAACAATAGCGCAGAGCAGAGGAGCCGGCGAGGCGCTTCGCCCCGGGGGTGGAACGGGGGGGGG